GGAGAGAGCGGCGGAGAGAGCGGAGGGAGGGGGGAAGGAGCGGGGGAAGGAGGGAGGGAGGGAGAGGAGGAAGGAAGGAAGGAGGGAGAGAGGGAGGGAGGGGAGAGCCGGCTCCTCGCTCTCTCTCTCCCTCTCTCGCCCGCTCTCTGCCGTTGCCGCGCCGCCTCCGCTCCCCGCGCCGCGCTCCGCTCCGACTGACGGGCGGCGGGAGGTGGCGGCGAGGGAGGGGGCGAGGGAGGGGCTTTCCGGGACGGGGGGGGCGGAATGAGGGGGTTTGTCCGTCAGCCCTGACGGGCAGCGGCTGCTCCCGGAGACGGGTCCGCGTGCGGTTCGTCTCAAGCCTCCGGGCGCGGGAGGCTTCGGATGTCCCGGCGCTGTCGAGGCTGCGGGCTGTAACTTTCCGGAGAGGGAACGACGGAAGAAACTCCGTCACAGCCGCGCAGCCCTCACGGGGCGTCCGCAGAGCCGGGTGCTTCGCGCCCCGCAGCGCTGCCCGTCGGAAGGGCAGATGCTTCCTCCTGCCTCGATCCCCCGGGCCGGCGCTGCGGAGGCACGCAGGGTACGAGGCAGGGTGAAGAGGCTGAGTTCTCCGCCATCCCGCGGCTCTGCCACAGGGCGCGGGTCCCGCCGCCGCCTCGCAGGTGTCGGCGGCGCTGAGGGGAGCGGGAGCGCTACGGGCGGGCACGGCGGGCTGCGCCTCAGCACCGGGTGCGGGGCCGTCGCCAGCGCGGGGCGCCTACAGCGGTGTCCCCGGGTGGGAGCTCAGCTCCGTGACCTGCCCGCTCACCGCGGGTGCCTGCTGTGGAGCCTCGCGGCGCCGAGCGTTGGGTTCCCCCTGTGGTGGCTCGCTTTTTGACTTTCGGATGAAGAACGGAGATAAAAACGACTGCCGACCTGGTCTTCGATTAGTTTTGTGCTTCTGAACAGTTGTAGTAAAACCCAACATCTGACACTTGTATCACTTCTTAGGTATCCTGACTATGTCTTTAGGACGAACTTTCCCTTGACCACGCTGCTTTAGTGACCTAGCTCACCCAATTCCCACGTATACATGTGTACAAACAGCCCATGCTTTCCTTGCATCACCGTTCCACTCAGCATTGCACACGTTACCAGATTCTTGGTGTTGTCAAAAATTAACTTTGCAAAAATCTTGGGAAAGAAATCACTGATTTCACTTCTGCACAGGAAGGATGCTTGATATTGAACCATCTCCAATACCGGGTTTCCACAGATTTCAGGTCTGACACCTGAGTGTACTGCGGTGTTACGTGCCTTACAACTTCACTGGCTGGAGACACTTTCCCTGCAGCTAAACTCTTAAAACATTTATTTAACTCGTGCATCTGTGATCTGAATACTTGAACAGAAACAGCTTGATATTTCAGAACTTTCAGTGACTTTTTGACTAATATTGCAAAAGTCTTCATGTAAGCAATAGAAATTATAATACAGCAACATACTAAGGATTTTTAGTATACCATTTTTTAGAAAATTATGTTAGTAAATCACAAGGAATTCTGCCAAGACGCTTTTTGTTAAAGAAGAAAACATGACAGAAACTGCAAACTGTAGTAAATATTTGTTTTTCAGGTATTTTAAAGTCTCTTGATAATACATGGTCTTTTATTAGTTGAAATGAATACAGTGTGCTACATTTGTATTTCATTTTATCCTCCACAGGTGTAAGCTCATGTTCAAACACCAGTGAAGCAGTGGTAGTGTTTTCAAGAAGGTATTCTATGGCAATTAGACAAACATACCAATCCACCAAATGAAATACTCTCATACAGCTTTGCTGCAGAATTAGGCTAGAACAGGAGCCTGAGATACCCATCTTTCAAATTAGAGTTAGTGTAATTTACAGGTGAAAGAATCTTTATCCATTTTGATCATTTCCTTGAATCTCAGCTCGGTTTCCTAATCAGAATTAGCTGTCCTCTCCTTCAGGTGGGTTGCTTGCTTTTGTTTCTGTTTTTTTGCCTGCCTTCCACAGAGTGTTTTCCAATCAAACAGATAATTTGACATCTATCAACTTTGAGCCTACTGCTGCTTAAATGCAAAGGAATGGAGTTGGGTAACCTGTTTCCAACATTTGGACTAAATGCAAGTTGTAAAACACTTTGGCCACTGTAGCTTAAAAAATAATATACTTTACATGGTATAGAACAGTTATAAATAAGTGATAAATGCAATGCAAACTGGTGCAGTGCTAGAGTCTGTATCACAAATAACTGTTTATTCTTGTATACTGTTTAGAGTAAATTACATAAGAGCATCATTATTATGCTGACTCCTGCTTTTGTAAATATTTAAGCAGCAATGTAAGTTATACACTTTGTGTGTTCTGAGATATTAAAGCCATATTCTACTTTGTCAGCTCAAAAGAGGACATATAAAGATGTATTATTTCTTCGACTATCCAGAGAGATGTATTTGATCACTTAAAGGATTATTATACAGAGTCATTTCAGTGAGTTTTGGACTTGTTTAGCTAAAGGTTAAGAAGCCATTTACGAAATTCTGGGAAGAAACATACATATGCTTGCTGTTTTAAAATGTAATTAAGAGTGTAAATTAATGAACAGTTTTCCCAAATTTAAGAGAAACTTGCAGTTAAAGTGCTGTGTGAAAATTATCCTTTTTTTTTTTTTTTTTTAGCAGAATGAATAGCAAATAACATACCCTGGATGAAAATAAAGTTTTAATGTGTATAGTAGATGAGACTGACATACTATTATACTGACACAAATCATGTGGTGTAGCTTTCTCTTAGAGAAATAGGCCCCTTAGAGGCGGTCAATCAACCTAGATTTTTATCTTAAGAGTTAACCTCTGTGCACACACATCCTCCAAAAAGAACAATGTCATTTTCACTGTACTGCTATAGCTTTGATGATGTCCACACCAAAGCTGCAGTACCTGTGCTTTTGTGGCTCTTGAAATTCACCTGCCTCGTGCTGCCTGTTTCAGCTATGAAGTGCTCACAGAGTTGTTTGCCTACTCAGCAGGGCCAGGTGCAGCATCTGATGTGGAAACTGGGGACACAATGTCTCTAGTGTTCATCTGCCCATAAACACAGTAACAGACAGACTACTAGAAGGAGTGGAGTAAGAATAGATTTAAAATGTTGTACTGTTTTATCCAAAATGATAATTTAGTGTGAGCACTGGTGGCATTTGTCCATTTCAGAAGACATGCCAATTGCAGTAACTCAAGAAGAAAACCTCCATTGAGCCTGCTTCTTAATCATCTCTAGCATCATTACTTCCAATTGTCTAAAAATATCTTATGAATATTCTGCTAAGATTTATAAGAAGCCTCTAACTGAAAGGTTATCACAGTTTAAAACTTAAATTCCTGAAAGGCCAGTACTCTGGCAAAGAAACTAGAAGAACTGCAGCTTAAATTTCCATGATCTTCAAGTGTTAGTAATCTTACACATAGATAACGTATAGTTTTAAAAACAATGCCTACTATCACTGAGAAAGGGAAATACAGAAATACTAACATTTTCTCTTGGCAGAAGAACTAACCTGTTGACCAGAAAGTATGGATTTCCTTTTTTTTTTTTTTTTTTTAAGAAAAGGAGTATACAGCTAGCAAAATCATTCCAGACTTCTCAAATAAATCTGGATACTAGCTATTTTATAGAAAAACACTGATATATAACGAAGATTTCCCAAAGACTGAACAGCAATGAAATGAAGAGTAAGTGATATTAAAAATGTATGCTCTGTTGGGTTCTTAGATTTTTATTTTCTTTTAAGGACTTGGATTCTTCGATGACTTCAATCACTGTGTTTGATTTTCTCTAATGGAAAGAGAATAAATGATAGTACTTTCCCACATATTATCTGCTTACAGTGTTAGAAACTGTATGGAGCGCAGTATTTTAAACTCTGTTCCCTTTAATAGGAAAGCAGTTGTCTAGGATGACGATGAAATGATGATCATTAAAGCTCAGAATAAACATCCTTGCAGCATGAATATGGAACAGCTCACACCTTTTTCCAGCTGTTCTTAAAAAAATCTACAAACAATTTGACTCTTCTTTCATAATTTAAAAATTTTCTATGCTGTCATGACACACGCTAAAAAGTAAAGAAACTTAGATTAGATGGCAACAAGAAAATAGACTTAAAAATATCACCAAGCAGCTGACTGATCATATTGAGCCTTGAATTCAGAAGTAAAGTTTCCTCTGGTTTTTTGAAATGAAGAAGAAAAACCTCTGCCAATTTGTATCTAGAAGACACAGAGAAAATGCTTCAAGGCAGATTCCCTACTATGTGCAGGAACCTACGGAAGATCTGAGGATATCCAAAGAGAATGGGTGAGACTGGTGGGACTGTATTGTCCTCTTAACTAGTCCTGTAAACAAGTTAGAATGTTACATTTTTTGTTTTACTCCCCTGTACTGATCACAACCCTACAGTGAAATTCCTGGCCACAGGATTTCAGTGGATACAGCAGTGTAGGAAGCCAGACACACAGAGTGCTGGAATCAGTGCTGAGTCAGACTTCACGTTGATAGTCCAGACCTTTGCATCCATTCTGGGAGGTCTGCCAGTGGTTACAGGCCAAATCCCATGTCCATTTCATATGGAGAAGGAAGAGTGCTGTAGAAATAAATGGAGACCTCAGAAACTGTTTGGATTCATAAGCAGACTTTTCCTAAAAAGGGTACATTCTGGATTTGAGTTCATTTTTTGGCCAGTGCACGGATTACTGTTTTCTTGGTGTCAGTTTTCTGTATCTTTTTATGTATTTATTTAGAGCAGCAATTGCTTCACTCTTTCAGTAGTTCAGTTATGCAAGATACTTCTCATCTCACATTAAAATTTATATCTTATTTATTATCCAGAAATAGTGGCAAAGATTATTCTTCATTTCCTGACTGGGTGCTCTTTGATATTGCTCAGATAATCTCATGGATGAACAAACTGTTAGCCTCCCAAACTGCTCAGACTTTTTGGGCAACTTAGAATCATAGAATA